ATCAGTCTGAAGGGTCTACCTTCAGTCTGAAGGTTCAACCGTCAGTCTGAAGGGTCTACCATCAGTCTAAAGGGTCTACCATCAGTCTATAGCAGTGGTGGCATACATGTTTTAGGTGCTGCCCTGGTACAACACAGCTAGACCTAATGAGTACCTAATTAGTATGTCTCTACAGACCCTGATGGCATACTGAGGAGACCTACAAATTAAAGCCTCTTTAGGTTCAGCTGTGTTGAACCAGGGCAGCACCTAAAACATGCTGGACACCGACCCTTGAGGACTGACTTTGGACACCACTGGTCTAAGTGTCCTACTTTCTTGTATCCTGTCTGTTCTCAGGGTGGGGGCTGCAGGTTCCTGCGTTACGACTGTAAGGTGGAGTCTCCCAGGAAAGGCTGGTCCTTCATGCACCCGGGTCGCCTGACCCACTACCATGAGGGTCTACCCACCACCAAAGGGACCCGATACATCATGGTGTCCTTTGTGGACCCTTGAATGCCTCGTGTGTGTGTGTGTGTGTGTGTGTGTGTGTGTGCACGCGCGGGTAAGAGATAAACCTGAATGCATCGTCTCAGAACAGGTCATTTCAGTGATGTCAAAGTACTTCCTGAACTCATCATTGTTGGTTTTTCAAAATAAGAGTCACTTTATTTATCTTAGAGTCAGAACTTTGAACGAGCATCAAACAAAAACACGTCAGAATTATTGTTCTAGAAGCATCACTGCTGTTCATTTCAAAATAAGAGCCTAATTTAAATGTTCCAATCACAGAGCTGCCTTAGTGTCACACTAACTGAGTCTATGGTGTGTGTGTGTGTGTGTGTGTGTGTGTGTGTGTGTGTGTGTGTGGTACACTCCTCTGAACCCTACAGACGATGGTTCAGGACTGGACCACTCCTGCAGGATGCGGTCCTGCTCTGATGTTTATTTTAGGCTTCACYTCCTGCAGCAGCTTTTAGTTTCCTCTTTAATCAGCRGGTCGTTAACCAATCAGGAGTGTCGGAGGAGGAGTCAGTGAATGTAACATGAGTTTATAGGTGTGTTGTAGTATTATGGGATGTTTCGTACAGATGGGTTTTATATATTCTCAGYGTGAAACAAACGTCTCCTCAGGTTTTATTTTCCTCATTTTAATCATAAAACTGTTTGAGGGGCGGGGTTTCAGTTTTCTGACCAATCAGCTCTCTGGCTTTGTACAAACTGCTTTAAATTATTTGTTCAAAACTGAGTGAATAAATTTTAATAAGAAATGATCTCCAGTGGTTGAGTGTTTTATTTTAACGGATTTTCAGCTCTAGTCTCAGATTATTGAGCTTTAATTTGTCTTCTGGGKTTAAATAAGAATAAAATATATAAAACTGCAGCTGGTCTGATGATTGGACACATTTTATTACTTCATCTGTTCATTAAATGACTTCTACAGCAGAAAACACAGTTGGTAAAACTTGTTCTGTGCATTTTATTTAGAAAATCACTGAAATGTTATTTTATCTTAGTTAATGTTTGTTTAGTTTTCTCAGACCATAATTATTATTTAATTAGATTAAAACTTCTGTCCTTCATGAAAACAGAACCTTTGATTCTTTTTCAGATATGAATGAACTTGTTTTTAGTTGAACAAGAAATAAAAGTAAATGTGTTAAATGGTAAATTAAATGTTGGCTGCTGTGGACTAAATAATCTGTTTATTAATATTTCTGCTGTTTGAAAAAGAAAACTATAAATCTGACTAAAACTGGAGAATTATAAAATCTTAAAAGTTTCTGTATAAAACAATAATTTAATTTGTTGTATAACAACAAACAGACAGAACCACAG